CAGACGCCATCTTCTGGCGAGACGCGGGAATTCATTTGGCACGACCCTTACAGTGCATTATGGGTATTTTCTAGTCTAGCCGTTGAGCGTACATCGGTTGTACACTCATTATTGCGGTGCATTATGGTCCACTATAGTTTCGGACACCACTACAAATAGCTGTCCCCTCAAATAGTGCCTAATTTAAGGGTATAGGGGGTGATTTCAGACACAGCTCTAGAAACTGCCAAGCAGGTGTTTTTTTTAGCTTAACTCTGCAGGACAGTGAGAGTTTGACATGTGCTCTAATGAGATCAAATGATTAAAATATGCTCACTCGATCCCAACTTTTTTGTTGACGAAGTCCCCAGACAGTGTCTCCGTCCTGTACGCCAGCTCCTAATGTCAGCAAATAACAAAGACTTTCAAAAAAGGCATAATTTTTTATCATATATAATGATAAAATGATAATACGCTTTGTTCCTTAAAGCCAAGAGAATGTTATTTTTAATCTGGGTTTAATATTTAGTCCTGTATACAAGTTAAGCTCTATCAACAGCATCAGTAGAACAAAAATGATTTAGACAGTTCTTTAACAAATAAACCAAAAACATGTTTACAGGAAAAATGTAGGGTTTGCATGTAATGGTCTTTAATTCATATACACTACCGTTTAAAAGTTTGGGGTCAGCAAGGCTTCTTTCTTTTTTTTAAGAAAGAAAGAATCCTTTTATTCAGCAAGGACGCATTCGAGACATTTATAATATTACAAAAGATGTATATTTCAAATAAATGCTGTTCTTTTGAACTTTTAATTCAGCTAATAAAAAATAAAAATAAAGATTTCTACATAAATATGAAGCAGCACAACTATTTTGAACATTGATAATAATCAGAAATGTTTCTTGAGCATCAAAGTATCATATTAGAGTGATTTCTGAAGGATTATGTGACACTGAAGACTGGAGTAATGATGCTAAAAATCCAGCTTTAATCACAGGAATAAATTACATTTTAAAATATATTCAAATAGAAAACAGATATTTTTAATAATAATAAAATTTCACAATTATACAGTTTTTACTGTATTTTTGGTCAAATAAATGCAGCCCTGGTGAACATAAGAGACATCTTTCAAAAACTAAAACCCAAACTTTTGAACAGTAGTGTATATTTACAGGTAGCATTTTTCTATATTCATTATATTATTATTAAGTTAAAAACTGAATACATACCGGATACACACACAATCTGCCATCAGGATAAACAACCTCAGCCGCCTCAACCCTGATTAAAGAGACAAGCAGATCTCAGTACTGACCAACACACTGAATGACACATAAAACAACAACAGCGGAGCCTGTACTGCGGTACTCACGTGAACGGCTCCTCGCAGTATTCACTAAACATGGTCACCATCATGTCCAGCGTGATCTTTGCCTGCAAACACACAGAAAACGGTTTTCATGTTTAAAAGCACCTTGTAGTTTCAGTCACTCAAGCTACAGAGATTACAATTACAACATATACCTATTGAGTTCTGATTGCATCAGTTAACTGAATCTAAGCTCATATTTGATGTCAGGAAAGCGGTTTACCTTCGTGAGGTCTGTGGCCGTACACTCAATGAAAACGTTCTTTGTGTTTAATGAGATTTTGCTGTGGTTCCCTGGGAGAGGGAGAGAGAGAGAGAGAGAGAGAGAGAGAGAGAGAGAGAGAGAGAGAGAGAGAGAGAGAGAGAGAGAGAGAGAGAGAGAGAGAGAGAGAGAGAGAGAGAGAGAGAGAGAGAGAGAGAGAGAGAGAAATACAAAACTTAAACAGATCGATCTGCAGAACAAAATCACAAAGCTTAAAGATGAACAGAAAGAAATGGAGTATTTGTGTGCATTTCTGTCCGTGTTCCTGTGAAAGTATATGTGTGTTTTGAACTCACCGTTGATGATGGGCGGCATCGACAGGACGACTCCATTACTGTCATATATGATGGGGTAGAGAGGTTCGTTCTCGATGATATGCAGGTAGTGCCTCAGATGACTGTCAGTCTACAACACATTAAACGTATTCATAAATTGAGTTATTTTTCGCTGCTTATTGCGCTTAAACAGACAAATACACACACAAATAATGTCAAAATGCAGGTCTTGGCAAGTATTCACGGTCAGTTGTGTTTAGTGAACGTAAACAGTTGAGAAAGAAAACGCATGTGTAACAGTATAATGGATCCGTGTGTCAGTTCTTAAAGTGACAGCAGCGTAATATTCCTGCTGCAAAACTATGAAATAATATTAAAATTATCTATATGGCAGTTTCCCCCCATGGTATCAGTGTCAAAATTGTGGCCAGTAAAAATGCTAAGTGGCAAGTAACTGTGCAAAGCCACTGGTCACAGTGGATAGTGAGCAAAAAAGTTAATGCCAAGTCCTGGTTGCATGTAATTATAGCAAATAATAACAGTAAATTATGCATTATCATCAACTGTCCATCCATCCCCTGATTTGTCCTTAACAGCCAATCAGATCTCACCTTATAGAGACTCATGATCTCAGTGGCGTTGTACTCTTTGTTCTGATTGAGCGGTTTGAAGCGGATATCTGCGGGCGCTTTGGCTGTGTAAGTGAATGGACCGGAGACGGTGTCCAAATCATGAGTTCCTATGGCAACCAGCGTCCTTTTCCTGATGGGACAAGAGCACAGTGAAAAAACATCAGGATTTGCAGTGAAACGTCTCATAGTAAAGCGGAGAGCGTGTGCGTGTGGACTGGCCTGCAGACGTTCTGGTGCAGCTTCTCCTGCAGCTCTATGAAGCTGTCGTATCGCTCCTGAGTGAAAGTGATGTTGCGCAGTACAGCGGCTACAGCGTGAGGCCTCACAGACGCCGTCTACGTGAACACCAAAGGATCATCCCATTTCAGCATCACATTCATTTAAATCATCTCGAATTCTTCACCACGACTGATGCTTTCTCACTGTACTTGAGCTCTTACGTAAATCAATAATTAAACCATTAAAAAATGTGAAATATGACACTGATATGAACCTCCTCAGTTATGACCAGCCGCTGAGGCTCTCCTCCATTCGCCGGACTCACACACTTATACCGGGGAGCTTCCATCCTAGAAACACAAACACACTCATATCAAACACATAAAGGCATCTGACAAACAGCAGAACCACAAGCACGGGGTCTCACCTCTCCTTGAAGACCTGCAGACCCCTGACGAGACCCTCCAGACACAGCAGATCATAGCGGTTGGCTGGAACGTCGATCTTATACAGCACAACATCAGACGCCCCCTCGGCCTTCTCATCTCCCTGCTCACGGCTTAAGATTTCCTTCTCTGACGTCTAGACATCGAGAGACAGACAAGGTAGTGCATTGATCAGAAGCACTAACATCCATATCAATATAATGACTATATGTATAATAAAAATAACAATTATTTACTATTATAAAACAAATGTCAGATTTCTGTAATGATTTAATACATATATACGTTGTTATATAATTAATTGTATATATATATACATAGACACATTTAAAACATAATTATATTTATAAAAACAAATACATTGGTATATTATATCTTATAGTAGATATTATAAAATATTTTTATAAGAAAAAATATGTGTCTGGTTTCTGTAATGATATTATAAATATATATTTTGTAATATAATTCATCATTGCATAAAGGCCTGTTATTTCTTCTTATCTGATCTTCTTGTAAACATATATTTAATTTCATATGACTTACGATTTCGTCCAGCTCAAGGCCAAACTCGAAACACAGTTCATCAAATTCTTCATCCGCTAAAACACGAATAGAAAATAAAATATATTATGAGTCGCATAATGATGGCGTCATCAATGGGCTTCCAGTTTGACATCTGAGCTTTTCAAATGAATGAAGAATAAAAAATAACACCACAAGAAATAACGCATCACTGCATTCAAGCAGCACAAGACTGGAAATCTATACATATTAAATAAGACAAAATCTTAGGTAGAATCATGGTTAAAATCTCAGAGTATTAGAATCTGATGCAATCGCTGCGACACATTGGAGAAATGAATCATTTAATTTTAATTCGTTTTGAGTCTCAATATAATTTTGTTCAGTAATGATAAGATGGCCAAGAAGAATCAATGATTTGTAGAATATAACTTGTTTTATTAAGATATTCCTCCTTGATTTCCACAGATGCAGACAGAATCACGCTCTCTCTCACACACACACACACATACACACACACTGAGCACATTTCCCCTGCTAACAACAAGACGCTAATGAATGCGCTCACTTTATACACCTGATAAAAGTTAAACACGCACTGTATGTTTGTCCCAGAGCTTCAAAGAGCAGATCTCTCTTCACGCTGACTGTCGGCATGCTCGCAGCTGATGATCACCGGGTCTGATCGGATCCGGAGGATCGAGCGTCACACCAACACTCTTTCAAAATAAAAGCCCCCATAGAACAACATAGAAAAGGCCTATATTTAAAAAATAAAAGTCCAAACTAGGAACTTGAAAATTCACTTGACAGCTTACAAAGATAGATTAGATAGATAGATAGATAGATAGATAGATAGATAGATAGATAGATAGATAGATAGATAGATAGATAGATAGATAGATAGATAGATAGATAGATAGATAGATAGATAGATAGATAGATAGATAGATAGATAGATAGATAGATAGATAGATAGATAGATAGATAGATCTAGTTATCTTACACTTGTGACAAAAACAACAAATAAAGAAATAATTGTAATAAAGAAATTAAATGGGTTTTTTGTCATTGATATTGGAAGGAGTCTCATTTAAAAACACTGTAAAACTATATATTTTAAAAATATATAATATGAAATAGTGGCTATTGGCTAACACTGAATATTTTCTCTCAGTGACTGACTAAAGTTCCCATATGGCATAGGTGTTCAAGTCTGTGTGGTGCAGTTGTTCTCCAGTCCGGTGGGCGGCGCTCTCTCCCCGCTCGCTCAACGCGTCTCGACGCTAGCGGAAGGTTGTGTTGAGTTTCTGAGCTTCAATCTCATGCGGCCTCGTCGCGATTATCCAGTTTACACATGTTTATTCGGATCCAGGAGGATATATTCAAAGACATATTGAGTTAATATCGCCCATGGACATGGATGCGGTGAATGCCTTTAACGGGGAGGTGAGAATTCGCGTTTTATTTGCCGTTTACCCTTTACCATTAGCCGAGCCCGCGCGCCAAGCTCCTCCAAAACAATCCTTGTTTACGTTTATTGTTCATTAGTGGATGGATATCAGACTGTTTTTGCAGTTTAAACGTCTAAATAGTCACATAAAAACCTAGGTATAGTTAAGCAGATGTGATATGAGTATGATTAAAGTAAGTTTGTTTAGTGACCTTCGACCTGTTCGTGCTGTGAAATTGCGCTTAGTTAAGATTTGATTGAGTACTTACATGTATATACAGTTATTAAATAAGGTATATATCATATTTTATATCAATGTTATCTAGTTTTGCCTGGCTGTTGTAATAGAATCGTATATAGAGAGATTTTCCGTGGCGCCCCTAGTGGTTCAGAGACATGATCAACTCTCAGATGATTTATTTAGAGTGCTATAATGGTGTTTTTGAGGTCAAAACAGAGATCTGCCCGTTTTAATTGAGTTTGTTATGATGTTAAGTGCATGTTCATATTAATTTTGATATTATTTATGTAAACACAAGCTTTTCTGTTTGAGTTTGAGATTGCAGGTAACTGAGCTGAAAGTTTTGAATGTCATTTTGTTCTCAGTTTTGATCTTTAATTTCTGATGAGGGTAAATGTGTCATTTTTTCCTCCTCTGTAGATGTCGTCCATGATGGACATGACTCCCCCGATCTCTCGAGCCAAAATGATGTCAGTAACCAAAGCAGGAATCAAAGCTATCAAAGTAAGTCAGAACACAAATATGGATGTTGTGAGTTTCACAAAATGATCCTAATAAATGAGCAGGAATTAATTGACTTGTCTTTATGCTCCATGTTCCTAATATTTTGAGTTTGTGTTGATTTTTATAATTTTATCTAAGAAAATGTTTAAAATATTTATTTTACCGTCACATCATATGCTGATGTAAACATTATATGGTAGAGGAGAGATGAATTATAATTTTAAATTCTCATTTTTTTCATGTGTTGCCTGTTTATTAATTTTAAAAAAATTCTCATTTCATTGTTATTGGTGTTTTGATACTTTTTTTGTTGAAATATTCTTTTGTGGCTGAGTTTTAATGATTTATTTGCTTTGTTAGCTTTACAAGCACGTTGTTCAAATCGTGGAGAAGTTCATCAAGAGGGTATGTAATAAACTATATATTAACGTTATCGTACTTTATGATCGCTGTTATTATGGGAAGGTAAAGATTTATTTGTTTTTTTTTTCCTGTCAGTGTAAACCAGATCTAAAGGTCCCTGGTCTCTATGTGGTGGACTCAATTATCCGACAGTCACGCCATCAGTTTGGCGCAGACAAAGATTTGTTTGGTCCGAGGTTTTTGAAAAACTTCACTGTAACATTTCAGAATCTTTTCCAGTGCCCAGCCGATGACAAGGTACTGAATAATCCCTCCAGATTTCACAGTGAATGCAGCCAGCTGAATGTTATTGATGGATTTTGTGTGTTGTAATGTAGGGGAAGATATTGCGTGTGTTAACTCTGTGGCAGAAGAATGAGGTGTTTGGCATGGACGTCATTCAGCCGCTGTTAGACATGGCCACAGCTCCTCTACTGTCCGTTTTAGAGAATGGAACCACAGTTGCCGGTAAATGAGCAAAATAAATGTTTTATTTTTCAGCTGGATCACATTTGTTTCTATTAGGGATGCACCGATATGAAATTTTTGTCCGATAACCGATAATTCTTTATATTCGAAAGCCGATAACCGATGTATTGACCGATAAATCTAAATCCAAATCCCAATTTTTATATATTATGTAAATATATATCTCTCACAATTATAACTTTCTCATTAGAATTTTATGTAGCCGATATGACAGAACCTTATGGACTTCACTGTATTTTCCTTTTTTGAAGTGATTCCAATTATATTTCAAGCAATTCAAAACCATCATGTTGATCTGAAGTGTCTCGGCTGAAGGAAATAATCCATTATTTATCAGCTTAAATGTATCGGCCAAATTTTCTTAACGGGCTGATAAAGATTACATTGAAAATGAACATTGATCGGCCGATACCGATATATCATGCATCCCTAGTTTCTCATCTTTTTATTATGCTTTAACTTTTAGGTTTTGTGTCTGGCCTCTTGAGTCAAAGTCTTTAAAGTTACACTATCGTTCAATAGTTTAGGGTCTTTAAGATTTTTTTTTTTTGTATGTGAATTCAGCTCACAAAGGCTTAATTTATTCCATAACAGTAATATTGTGAATTATTATTACAATTTCAATTATGCGTTTTCAATGTGAATATGTTTTAAAATGTTTTTTTTATTCCTGTGATCAAAGCTGAATTTGCAGCATCATTACTCCGGTCTTCAGTGTCACATGATCCTTCAGAAATCAGTCTAATATGATGATTTTCTGCTCAAGATATTCACAACATATAATATGCTGTGCTACTTAATGATCTGTTAAACATGGAAATCGCAATTATTTTGATGATTAGAAAGTCCAGAAAATCAGCATTTATTTGAAATGGAAATCTTTTGTAACATTATAAATGTCTTTACTGTCACTTCTGATGAATTGAATGCATTCTTACTGAATATTTACAACTGCAACAAAAAACATATTGACCCTACACTTCTGGATGGTAGTACATATATTTGGCAGAATTCTGATGTAAATACCTTGGATGGTGTTTGATATTCTTACGAGAAGTTACTGTAACCTGTATCATATTCAAACTAGCAGCCTGTAGTTCGCTGATCTGTGGTTTAAACTGTAGCCTGATCTCTGTTGTTAAACTGCACTTTTCATTGCTTTTTGTAGCTCCTCCAGCCATGCCAATGCCAATACCAATGGCAGTGGCAGAGCCAGCACCAGCACCATTTATTGCAGCTGCAACGCCTGCGCCAGCGCCCGTACCCGTACCCAACCTTCAGAGCCCAGTGCCCCTCGCTGCCGTCACTCAGCTCCTACAGGGCACAGGGGGCGTAGAGGTAACACAATATTCAACTCAAATTTGGTTTAAAAAGCACTTTCAAAGTCATACAAATTAAGTGCTGTACATAAATTGCTATAAAAATCAAACTGAGTTTAATCTGAGTTTTTTGCTTCAGTTACAGCAGCTTCTCCAAAGTCTTCAGCAGGCTGGAGGGGCGGGGCTTCCTCAGTCCACGGCCCCGCCCACCGAGCAGAAACCATCATTAGCTAAGGTAAACCGTCTGAAAACCGGTTCAGTTTGACCATTTTGACTTTCCCCTCGCATCCTCGTATGTCTACTTATAATAAATAGAGTGGAATCTGGAAGATATCAGCAGTTCTTATGGTGTATAGAAACCACAGAGCTAACGCATGGTTTGGATCTGTTAATTCTCTGCCTGTAACATTGTGTTTCTGGTTTGACTCAGTCTCTGCTGGATCGATTTGATTATGATGATGAACCTGAACCTGTAGAGGAAAAGACTGAACCAGCCCCTGGTGCTCCCATTACCATGTAGGACATGAATAAACTGTTCACATACAGTGAAATATCATTCGATTTTTTTTCAGGTATTTAATTAACATTGTCATTCTTTACAGAAACCTCCCTCCAGAATTACAGCAAGCCTTGCAAGCTCATCTTCTAAGTCAAATCGCTAACCAGGTATTAATTCTGGCCGACAGAGCTTTAAAGAATAAGGACTTGTCAAAAATATTGCATGAAATTAAAGTGTTTTCTCACGTCCAGACACAGATGCAGGGACAGATGGTGTCGCAGGGTCAAGTGCCGTCCCAGGGTCAGATGGCACCTCAGGAGCTCCCATCGATGGTTCAGACCCAGATACCAGATATCCCTCCTCAAACCTTTGATGAGAACCTCATACAGCATAGTACAACCCAGCAGCCACAGGTACAGAACATCGAGATATTAATAACTCGAAACATCCTCACCAGTCCAAGCTCTAATGCTTAAACGATTCTAAAATCAGTTTGCCCATATTTACACAACAGTGAGGCTAAAATCACATGCATAATTCCTTTGGCCCATTTCAGGATTCAGCTGAGACAGAACGCTCGGTGCATGATGGGAGAGATCGAAGACACGGCAGACGAACCGGATCAAGGTATGTTCTCTGAGTGCGCTTGAACATAAGTCCTTTAATAAAAGAGCCTCTACAATGTTAGTAAATCACTCACATATGCAACTAAATTTTAATGCTAGGTGATTAAATAATGTTGGCCAAGTATATGTTTAGCACTGATATATTTTCACTCGTCTTGAACACTGTCTAAATGCTGAAGAGTTTTGCTCTGTCTTTAAAGCGCACTATTCCAATTCATCTTACTGTAAACTCGAATCACTCGTATGAACACTGTAGTAATTATATTATATTACATTAATATAATATAATGTTAGTACTCTCATAAATATGATTACTCGTGCTATGTGTATTTTTAAACTTTTACACTTCATTTCTAACAAAAAATATTTTAGCAAAATGTGTATTTTAGTCAGAATTATTTCACTCCTGATCTACTGCGTCTGTTTGAGACGCTTGCGCCCACCGCCGCTCGTTCATGGAAGAGTGTAGTTTTGCAAGTCCCGCTTGTTGTCAGAATATGCAAAATAGAAATAATACTCACGGGACTTTCTAACATTTACAGATAAGGATATAAACCATAAAATATAAGTTGTGTGCTGAGGAAAACACGTGTCAGAGGCATTAATCATCACAGGGCTTAACAGGTCCAAATATTCAAACTGACCCGGACCATTCTATTATTTGAAAGTTGGACCTTGACCTGACTGGACCCGAAAGGCAAATTTTGTATCTTGATTCAACTTACATAATAATAACTTTGACTGTTTGCCATTTAAACTATAATAATGATTGCTCATTCAGTGCCACGGCCGCTGACGTCAGCATTACTGACGTCTCTGAGCCGAGTCTGACCATAAATTTTAGATTTAACAAGACGGTTCATTCATTATATTATTAAAAAAATGGGTGAAAGAAAGTGCACATGCGCGTAAGCTGGAGCAACCTGAAATATAAGCTTTGCTTGCATTTAATGTTGCACACAATAGGAACAGGAAAACTCATGATCACTGTGCGCTTGCATTAACTCATTGTCATTGGCTGGGGTCGCTTGTGTTTTTTTCACCTTATTTCCTGCCTCACACTTTTCTATTCCTAATTTTACAAGTTGCAAGTTACAAAACACACGCACAGCACTGACTGGCTCTCATCACGGGCGGGTGTTCTCAGATCGACTCGGTATTACACAATGTTAAAGGGATACTCCACTTTTTTTGGAAATAGGCTCATTTTACAACTCCCCCAGAGTTAAACTGTTGAGTTTTACTGTTTTTGAATCCATTCAGCAGATCTCCGGTTCTGGCGGTACCACTTTTAGCATAGCTTAGCATACATCATTGAAGTGGACAAGACCATTAGCATTTCTAAAAAAAAAAATGACCAAAGAGTTTCGATATTTTTCCTATTTAAAACTTGACTCTTCTGTAGTTACATCGTGCACTAAGACCGACGGAAAATGTAAAGTTGCGATTTTCTAGGCTGATATTGCTAGGAACTATACTCTCATTCCTGCGTAATAATCAAGAAACTTTACTGCCGTACCATGAGTGCAGCAGGCGTAATGATATGACGCAGCGCCTGAAAATAGGCCACCTTCCGTCAACACAACGGAACTATTTTCAGGCGCTGCGTCATATCATTACGCCTTAATGTAAAAAGCTGTGCTATTTTATAAAGATAAGCTAATTTGGTGGAATCATTCATATATGCTCTCCAGGTCTCCACGGAGGCGATCGTCTTCACACTCACGCAGATCGCGGTCCGGTTCCCGTTCCCGGAGAGAACGCTCGAGGTATCATCGCACGCGCTCCCGATCCAGAGAGCGTCGAGGACGTTCACCACGGCCACGCTCAGAGGAGAAGAGAGACCGGGAGAAAGAGCGAGAGCGGAGACAGAAAGGATTTCCGCCCATCAAGAAGGAAACTCTCAGCGGTGAGAACTTGCTACAATCCTTGTAAACATAAAATAGATTAATAGCTATCTTTTTTTGCACTGATTGTAAATGTTAATTGTCAATTTACTGTTATTGTTGTGATATGTTGTTCAGTGTTTTCATTTGTTTGTTGCAGTCTGCAGTACTACATTATGGATCGGACAGCTGGACAAAAAGACTCAACAGCAGGACATCATGAGTCTGATGGAGGAGTTCGGACAGATCGAGTCCATCAATGTATGTATTGATCAGTCATATCAATGTACACTACCGTTTAAAAGTTTGGGCTCAGCAAGAGTTTCATTTGAAAAGAATTTAATGATTTTATTCAGCAAGGATGAATTAAATTGATCAAATGTGAGAGTAAATACATTTTATAATGTTATAAAATATTTCGGTTTAGTGTATGCCTTTAAAATCAATTTTTTAAGTGAGAATAGTGCCATCTGGGGGTGTTAAAAAATACAAACTTGTGTAATGTCATGGTGTAATCTTTTAGGTTTTGCATTTAGATATATATTTAGGCTTTCTAAAAGATACTTTTTGTCAAGGTTTAGATATTTTTTGTTAGTTTAGTGTCAGATTTTTCATTATGATTACAATAAAACAACATTTTGTTAGAAATTGAACTAATGGGAAGCTTTTTAGTTACTCAGTATTTGATTGATAATTTAAAAAATCTAACAGAATAAGGAATAGATGGCGATAATTCAAAGCAAACATTGCAGTTAATTGGCATTTTATTTTATTTAATAAATTGTAATAAAACTTCATAAAGAAACCACAGTTATGAACTAACAGCAAACACAATCAATTCATTTCTGTGTGTGTGAGCAAGAGAGAGATAGACATAGTAGAGATAGTATTCTTTTCATTTATTGATTTTATTTCACATATTTTCACAATTTGCTGGCTTGCAGTCTTACCAGTTAATTTCTGTGTGTGCGTGGGTGTCTTTGAAGAAGATAAACCCCTTCATTGCTGTGTTTTTTTGCATCATGGCTGATTTGTATTGTGTACCACCAAAATATTCTCAGATTTTTCCCATTCTTTTCCTATGTCTGTCATTTTTTACCATGAAGGTATGAAAATGTATCTACTTCACACATTATGACAAAATGATCAATTCATCAGGTCATAAAGTACCAAGTGTTACTTTTTTCCCGACCCTTTAATATCCAAATCATGTCCATAATTTGTTTTGTGTGTGTTCACATATCTAATGCGACAAAAGTCACCAAGTGTAATCCCATTCCGATGAAGCAAAAAATTAAAAAGATTAAAAACGTATGTTTCGGTCAGTTCCAACCAAAGAGGCCCAGGAGAGATAATTATATAGCTGGTTTTGGCTACAAATAAGGCAGTATCACATGTGAAGAAGGAAGTCCCAGAATGCATTGCACTTTGTGTATTATTGTATATGAGAATCAAATAGGTCTCTTATAAGGTTCCATTTCAGTTAGGATGTAGTTGTCTATTTAGACAGCAAGGCTGCTTTCTAGATTTTGGAACAGAGCCTTTATGTAAAGCCTGCAGGTTAATTTAGCATCTCCTCCACAATGGAAATTTTGCTTACAGGAATAGTCAAATGTGAAACGTGCATTTTATTTTATTATTATTTCCATTGCTTATTTGTGGTTACATTTTCTTAACATAATATTTCAAATGTTTTTATTAAATATGCTGTGTTTGATCCTGTGCAGATGATTCCTCCCAGAGGTTGTGCCTACATCGTCATGGTGCACAGACAGGATGCCCATACAGCCCTGAGCAAACTCAGCAGAGGGGCTGTTAAAGTCAACCAGAAATCCATTAAGGTACCGTGACCAACCTTTTCTTCCTGTCCACCGTGTTCTTGGGTTAAAATGCCTTGTCAGGGTTATTATTACTTATTATATGACTCTCTTGAATACATTTAGCGCATGCTTTTATCCAAACCAGGAACATAACAATAGGGTTGGGTACCGAAACCAGGCACCGATATGGAACCGGTACCCAAGTAACCGGTGTGTAATTTCGGTGCCTCATTTCGGTGCCACTTAAACGCCTCAGCTGTCGGTTGAATATCTGCTACTACTAACATGGCGCCCATTGTGCGTTATAGATCAACTAACATGAATCATGATTATTATAAAGGTTTCTAAAATGACAAAACACATTCACTTACATGTATTTAAGAATAAAAATATCAGCCAAGGACTGACTGACATAACGCAACCAATCACAGTTCGTTATTTGTTTCCGCGTCATGTTTTGTGTGAAAATGTAAAGTCGATGTCCATACAATAACAGACCAGCGTACATCTAATTAATTATTCATTCAAGAACGCTGTGCAAGTTTACTGCAACAATAGAGCCGTGAACCTCACATACTTTTGAAAATCCAGCATTCAGTTGATCCTGATGAGCGCTCATTCTAAAATAACGCTCACCTCGTGCAGGACATGCAATAAGTCAGGAGAGGTGTCGTATTCGGCCAGAGAAGGCAAAAAAACGTGAAAAGAATTGCTGAAATTTAAAGCTGGTTTGTAGCATACCGAATACAGACTACTTTGCTGTTATTAGTACTGTAGTGTTATTTAGTGTTAAATTATTGTATTTGGGTTAGGTGGCTTAGGTTTTACTGTGAATTTATGTAAATTTGTTGTGTTTTGTATTTAGACTACTTATATTTACTCTAAAATTTTAATATATTCAATTTTAAGATTTTTTTTTTAAGAATGTTCTTTAATGTCATTCACCATCGTTTTGAGGCTCTCTTTTTTTCAAAGAATCGGTTCAGGCACCTGTACCATTTTAAAAGTATCGATTTGGCACCGGTATCAAAAAAAAAAAAAACGAAAAACGATACCCAACCCTACATAACAAGCAGGTCATCACAGAACCAACAATATTCACAGTATACAATGCCAGGTTTATTAAAGAGGCAATTTTATGCCCTTTTACGAAGTCTTGATTTTGTTTTTGGGCTCTACTAGAATAGCTTTTCATGCTTGAATGTTCAAAAAACGTATTATTTTCCCCATATTCTCCATTGTTGCAGCTCCTCTCTTCCCAGTCTGTCAGTAACGCTCTGTTTAGTTCCTGTCTCTATGAAGCCCCTCCTCCTGAAAAGCACAATGAGCTCTGATTGGTCGGCTGAACCAGTGTGTTGTGATTGGTCAAGCGCCTCGAGCATGTTTTGGAAATGTCCCGTCCCTTACCATAACCTCTAATTTCAACAATAGGGCTGGGCAAAAAAAAAATTTTTTGATTAATTGTTTTTAAAAATGTGGTCGATTCTATATCGGTTCTCAAAAGCCACGAATCGTTTTTTTTATTATCGAATCGACCATATTTATTTCCGCAAATATTAAACATAATAGTCTTGTCCACTAGATGTCATCCTCTTATCTACCTTGTGTGATGTTCCAGCGGGGACCCTGTCTGTTATTCATTCAGTGCTGAACATGGCGCCTTTCAGCGTGAAACACATTCCAGATAGTTGAAGGAACTGTCACTGTTTTCAAGCCTTGCCAATTTAAGCATTCAAGCGCAAGCAAACTCGCACGCGCTGTGTGAGAAGTTCTGTCTGCTCAGTGCACACACAGCTGCACGTCTCAGACAGCATGCAAATAATAAAATGAATTCTTTCACGCCTCCCTGCACTTAAGCAGACAAATTCACACAAATTTATCTCAAAATGCCCGCCTTTGCGAGTATCCAAGTAAACATAGTCGGTTATGGCTCGAGTAACCAGTAGAGAAAGAACACGTTTATCATTATTGGATTTGTGCATTAGTCTTAAAGCGACAGCAACCTAATATTCCTGCCGCAGTCTGTTTTAATGTTAATCAAACTACAAAATACAAAGAGAAAATCCCTCCCTGCTCTTCACTGAATATATTTTTTCTTTAATAAGAATTAACCTTTATTCAATTTGTACGGGTAAGATTATATGTAGTGTTTTACATTTGATTACTTAATTACATTTCTGTACATGAAAACTATTGTTAGACCTACCTAAAAAACTTTAAAAGCACTGATTATTTCAGTTGTATCTTTGTTCTATTGTATTTATTTATTTGTGCTATTGCTCAAGTTTAATTATTGGTTCTTTTATTATTAATGACTGTTTACTTGTCTTTAATAATCTTTGAAATTTATATTAGTAGTTTTAGCTGTGGTATCGAAAATGGAATCGAGAATTGTTAAATTTCTCTGTTATCTAAAATTTTGGGTGTCATAAACCTCATTTATCACAATACAAGGATACATGGGTCACAAACAATAACTTTTTTATTCATTTATTCCTTTTTTGTGGTGGGGCCAGTGAAAATTGAATCGAGAATCGAATCGAATTGAGATTCCCAGCCCTATTCAACACACTACTAACTAACTCAAGCAGGCCACGGCCCTTTATTTTGCATATGCCTTGGCTGTGAATATAATAAATGAGTAATATTGTGCCATGTTTCATTCCTGGTAGAAACTCAAGACTACAATGGAGGCGTTTCAGGGAGTTCAGAAACACTGACACTGATATAGAGAATAACTCCCGCTGGAGGGACTTTGTGCTTTAAAACTGCAGAGCTTTTTTCCGGCTCAAACAGCAACATTACACACTTAAGAAAGATAAACATGAAAAAAAAAATCATAATAGGTCCTCTTTAAACAAAAGCTAGATTAGGAAACAATACATAATTCTGAATGCTTGATTCTGGCATTCTGTGGCTGAATACATTTTGCATAATGACACTGATCTGTATAATCTTATAAGACATAAGTTGTATGTCTCTTGCATCACTCTGCACTCTTCTTCTCACATAATTAATTTATTGGGTAAGTAAGAAATACACTTTTCTAATGATTGTCATTTTACACGAATAGACTTCCAAACACACAAGTCCATTCTTTAAATGACAACCATGCAATAGTCTTTGTGTTTGTTGTTAGATGCGTTACTTTGATTGGTTGTCCCAGATCTCATGTTTGAATGTGTAGTAGCCCCACATGCTTGTTTTGAATCTATGTGTGGGCAGTTGTTTGACTTCCTGTCCTTGATCAGATCGCATGGGCATTGAATAAGGGCATAAAGACGGACCTGAAGAAGTACTGGGACGTGGAGCGGGGCGTCACTTACGTCCCCTGGGAAAAAGTCAAACCCGATGGTATCCTGAATCTTCAAGAAGGAGGCATGCTTGACTTGGAAACACTCAAATCAGGTAAACACCAACAAATGGCCTTTCTTTACATGTGCAGCTTCTAGTACATTGTTTAAATTTATTCTCATGTTTTATTGCATAATTTCAAAAGACATAATGTGAATGTTTGTCACATTTGTTTTTAAAATGACTTTAATTTGATCTTTAGAGTGGAGAAGTGCTGTGTCCAAACTGGTTGTGCCAGTAAGAGAAGGACCTGAAGGAAAACAGGAAGATGGAGCTGCACTACCAGCGGTATCACAGGTAAAACATGAGGGGTTTCCTACAGAACTCCTCAAGGGTGTTAGGTGTCTCGTTCAACTTTTCTGCTCTCGTTTTGTCACGTCTTCGGCTTATAGTAGGCAAACAGTGTTTCTGTGTTATTTGCTTTGCACTGACGGTTTACTGGTGCATGGTTGCCATCATATCTGGCAAATGAAGAGCCATAGAGCTCCAAATAAAGCAAGGTTAGTGTCATGACTGTCTAGTTTTCTTTCCGTGTTTCAGCAACATCGCTTTCAATGACAGTTTTTGTCAAAACACGATCAGTGTCCCACTGCTGTACTACAGTAGAGCTGATTTTGCATAAATGTGTTTCTGTATTGAGCCAATCAATGATGGTTGACATGTTGCAAACACTCTCCTCTAAATCTGTCATGTGTGTTTTAGATGGACCAGGTTGCTTTTTAAGAAACTTTTGAAGACTTCACACTAGGGCTGCCCCCTAATGGTCGACTACATTTTATTTTAGTTGGTTAATCGCAGGAAGAAGAGCAAACCTCCACTGGGATTGGAGAAGTCACGCTGTGACAGAGCGTTAATACTGCTGGTCCATGCGGTAATATGTCGGGCAGAAAGTCCAAAGTGAGGGATCATTTTGAGAGTGTAAAGAAGCAAACGTTTGTCTATCATTAAATGATCTCAAATGGTCTAACATTAGCTACACATGGCCGCTCGTTCTAACATTACTTTAGCTACACGTGGCCGCTCGTTCTAACATTAACGTGCGCTATTATTAGGCTCGTATCCAAGTGTTCGTGCAGAGTGTGGAAGTTCAAATCGAAATGCATCTTCTCAAAGACCAGCTACACTATGAACACAACACTGAGCTTCCTTCTCTCCGACAAAGTGGACAAACTTGTTTCTTTTTCTCATAATATGATGAAAATAGTGACAGAGTCAGGTATCTGCTATATGTTTTATTTATTCGTTTTTATATATTGTATATTTATTTGTGTTCTGACATGAGTTTTCATTCGATGTTGAGGCTACTTGTCCGTCGGCCTGATATTTATCCTATACGTGTGTCCGTTTGCTCTATTTTTTTGTTTATAATACATTTTGAAAGTATTTAATTCAAGGATGTTATTTTGTTTGCGTTCTGATCTGAGAGAAGTTCATACGATGTTTGCCCATGTTGGTGCGGAAAGATTTATGCATGCGCTTAATTTATATTTCAAATGCCAGACTAATCGAATAATGGCTTAAATCAGTGACTAACTGTCGACTAGGCAAATCTTTAGTCGGGGGCAGTCCTACTTCATACTAGGAGTTAGAGCTGCACGATTAATCGTTAAATGCGGCCTTGATTCAAACTCGCACGCAATCTTATTCCTACATACCATTGATTCAGCTATGTTCATTAAACATTTGTCAAGTACGATCACAGCGATTCAAATCTGTGTCTGTGCTGCCGCTGAGCCAGAGAATAGTTATCATGGATGGGTATGAAAAAGCTTCACAAACAGTCTTTTTTCTCCACATAGTATGATCGTTTCTGTTACGATAATTTTAAATTCACAGAAGTACTGGGTTCAAAGTATAAAGTTCTGAAATAAACACTACTTTCTATGTTAGCGATCAAAAAATTTTTTTTGAAAGCTACTTGACACTTCAAATATTGTATAATTACATCGTTGCACCAGTAGGTGGCGACAAGTGACTTTTAGTGTATTTGTCATTGAATCATTCATTCAAACTGTTTTTTTTTTATATTTTTTTAAATGAACTAAATATTTTTTAATTAGAATGCAGCAATTAACATTTTGTCAGAACCTCTAAATGACGTGCTTTTTTTTGTTTAGTTGTCTATTGAGAATCGTGATCTCCTATTTATCCACAATCGTGCTGCTCAACTAGGAGTGTAACGGTACACAAAAATGATGGTTCGGTACGCACATTGGTTTTGATGTCATGGTTTGGTATGGTTTCAGTACAGCAGGGGGAAAAACAAACCATATTTTTATTTATTTATTATTAAACAGTGGTGTACTGAACAAACTATGCCTGTTCTTAAAAAAAAGAAAAAAGTATGTCAATATTGCTGCAACCGACAGCAACATACAAGGTTTATGTTGCTATTGTAATTGGGGGAAGAGATTTGAAGTGCTTAGACATTTGGATGAGAAATGTTTCTAATCTGCTCTGCCTATTTGACGTTCGTGTCGTTTATTGAAGTCTGCAATGATAAACCTAGACTCGCTCGCTGTCCAAATAATCCTTTATATGAAATGGAAATACTAGTGTGAATTTGTAACATTTACAGGTAAGTATACAACCGTAAGTTGTGTGCTGAGGAAAGCGCATCTTAAACGCATTAAACAATGCACACCACTGGAAGCACTTAAAGGGATAGTTCACTTTGAAATTAATTTTTGATATGTTTTAGCTTACCTCAAGGGCATCCAAGATGTAGGTGTCTTTGTGTCCACAGTATTTTAAATTTTGATATTTTTAGGTCAAACCGTTCTTGTCTGTCAGTCATATAATGCAGGTCTATGGTCACCACCTCAAAGACCATACACAGAGAAGTCCAAAGTAAACATGATTTAATGACTAAGAATGGTTTGTGTGAGAAAACGAACAGTATTTATATCGTTTTTACCTCTTGTAAACACAGCCACGTCCAAGTGATCTGACGGCGCCGGCACTTCGGTCTTTTCCGGAAAGCACCGGAAGTGAAACCTCGCACGTGTACGTCACTCATACAATTGTTTTATTTTTTATTTTTTGGAATAGTTTACTTTTACGACGGTTTAAACATCCCGGATAAGCGCAAATTAGTACCCTTTTAATTAGCCGTCTTACCTACAATCGCTGTTCTTTGTAAACAATAAGTCACGTACAAGCGCGAGGTTTCACTTCCGGCGCTTTCCGGAAAAGACAGAACCGCTCGCGACCTCAGAGTACTTGGACGTGGCTGTGTTTACAAGAGGTAAAACGATATAAATACTGTTCGTTTTCTCACACAAGCCACTCGTTTCGTGTCTTAGGCCATCAATGTGTACTTACATTTACGAGTCATTAAATCATGTTTAATTTGGACTTCTCTGTGCATGCTCTTTGAGGTGGTGACCATAGACCTGCATTATATGACTGACAGACAAGGACGGTTTGACATAAAAATATCAAAATTGAAAATACTGTGGACAAAGACACCTACATCTTGGATGCCCTTGAGGTAAGCTAAAACATACCAAAAATTAATTTCAAAGTGAACTATCCCTTTAAGGAAGCATATCTACCAGATTTAGATCGTGCACTTATCCGGCAGCAGCTCTCTGTCTTTTTTTATTTTTCAGATGCGTTTGCGACATCAAAGTATATCGATATAAAATATATTTATAAAATACTCAGTTTGAAATTATGTTCGGCACACAGAGGAGTCCCGCACGTGCAGTAGTTAAAACAACACTGTGTTCATGCGTCCAGAACTGTAGACTCGTACTGAATATGTGTACCGTTCCACTCCTACTTCATACTCTATTGGATCGCTGCTTAAAGATGCACCAGAAGATTATACTCGATCAAAAACTCACTCCATTTTTAGTAAACGTAATATTACGACTTTAGATTTGACCCAAAAGTTTGACTTTTGCAAGATGAGGAACGGTGTCAGTGAGCAATACAGTAGCACAGGCTCTAAACAGAAATAATGACACGCGCAAGCACAAAGAGACGGCATTATTAATTTTTGTCTTTTCTCCACTGGTTTCTTGTGATCTTGGCAATAAGTATTACAGTAATGCATGGCCTCCAGATATCTAAACGACTATCATTCTTGCACAGTTAGCATAAATATGTTCTGCATATTTTCATTTCCATTGTTTAGTTACTATTAGAAGTGCCTTATAAATAAATGAACTTCTGCATTAGATGGATTTACATTTTTATAGCATTTCTTTGTAAAGAATACATGATGCACAATTCGGTACATGGGGTGTTTCTGATCAGGTGGCTGAAGAGTCTGGCCAATAGCAACTGTTAACATAGTTTACTGTTCTATGCTGTATCTACAAGTGACGTTCACTGGCTCCTCACATGTGTGCACTCCACAACACACTGAAACTCAGAGGTGGCCAGGAACCAGGGGTTTAGGAATCACTTTAAAGGGAAACCAGACTTTATGTGCATCACTGGTGGATTTAGACAGAAGGCGGAAGAACAATTGCTGGGAAAACCAAAAGAGGACAACAGGTGGGTTCAGGGAATGCAAGGAGACTCAATCATAGGCAGTCGTCTTAACGATATTATAATACCATTCTGTTTATTGTAAAAAGAAAACTTACGGTAATAAGAGTTTGCGTGTAGAATAAGATGTTTCCAGCTGGTGAATTGGTAATTTTAAACAATGTATAGGTGGAAATAGTTTGTATAATAGTATAATTTTAAATAGTTTTTATCATTGTAAAAATGCATCTAACTTTAATACAAGATACATGACAAAACAGTGTGCCACACTGAAGCTACTTCTGTAGTTTCTGTTAGTAATGTGTGAAATATTAAAAGCTAAAACAAAAAACATCTCCAAAAACGGTACAACAAACTTCATTACTTGTTTTTGTGAGAGTCTTGAGGAATTAAGAAAAAGGAACATGTTCATACGGGGAAAAACACCTTTGATAAGGGTACAAATTTAAAACAATCTGTAGGCTCTTTGCTCTCTGTGCTTTAAAGTATCTTGTCACCATTTCACCGAGTTGTTAACCATTGACTCACTCCAACCAGTTCAGTCAGTGAGTGTGTTGTCTGACAGATTCAGTGAATCACAAACTGACTGATTTAACTGATTCATTAAACTGACCTACAATTACTAGTTCACAAATTGAATATTTGCGAGTACACTCAACTTGAAGATAATCTTTGTTTCAACTCACAAATATTCAAGTCAAAATCCAAAACTTGTCATGGCAATTGTCATGAGTTTAAAGAGAAGAAATATGTTCAAATGACTTAATGGGGCTATCATGTTTACAGTGAAGAAAATGTTATATAAATCAGGCCGATGACATTCTGGGACAGTACAAGAATATAGATAGGAATACAAATGTTAGGTTTTGTGTATGTAAGTGCTGCAGAAGTGGAGATTTCTGGCTCGTTACAGGGGAAATAATATTTTTTGTGAAAAGAAAGTTGCGAAAATTTAAAACTACAGACACTAATAAAACACTTAAATGTGTAGTTTAGATGTTTTCTTTCCACTAGTCTGAAAGAAGACCTGATGGAAGCAAAATAGTCTATGAAAAAACTATGGTTTTGCCTGTACTGTCTTGACTTAATCGTTAAAAGAGGCCTTCGGTACTGAAAAACGACATTTCAGATTGGTACGCTGCTACCTTGTTACTGAGAAAAGTAGTTTAACTATTAACTATAAAGCGTCTCTGCTTTGAAAATTCTGCTGCTCAACAGTGGTAAAGTTACCCAATGGTTTTCCACTGGTTAAGCAGATGATATTAAAAGCAACGTTCCTATAGACATTATGCTGTAGTTTAAAAATAGTTTTGTTAGTAAAAATAAACATTCGTTTAAACCAGTGGCTCTCATTTCTAGTCCGACAGCACCTCACATTTTGTATGTCTGCTTTATCTGACATCAGTTCATGGAGCTTGTTAAATAAGGCAAACGTACCAAATGTGTAGATAAATGTTCATAAATTCATCAAAGAGTCCAGGAGAGCTTTGTTCAAACTAATGACTGTGCATATTAAATGACGCGTCGGTGAATGTTTTGAGAGTTCTGCTTCTGAATGGAATGAAATCCTCAATATTCTCCAGTGGACTCTCAAAGGTGGCGCTGGATTTTGGATCTCCTCCTGCTTTGCGGTTCTATGAAGAACTCCAGTGGGAAGGTAAACGCTCATTGATTCCAGGACAGTAGTTGATAGCTGATTCCAGGGCCCCGAACTTCACTCAACCACATACACATGGAAAGGTAATGGCTTAATGCCAGGTTCAGGTTGAATGAAGTTTCACAGTTCTAATCCAGTTTAGTGAAATGATTGGATTTTCCCCATGTTTGAAGATGGCGAAGCATTACATGCATTGCAGTTTTAAATTACGTTTTCATTGTTCAGCCAGTCGGATTCAAATCTGAGTATGAAATGCGGCAGCAATGACATATGTAGATCGGCGAGATGAGGCCTTATTTCTGCTGATCCATCGCAGCGATGGCCTTGTGTACCTGCGGACTGAGTCTTTCATGATACAGCATCACCACATGGTGATTGGTCGGAATCGGCTGGAATCATTTTGGTCGAGCAACCAGGATATTCTGGACCGTCTGCTCTTCTCGAAGGAACCAGAGATTTGGTAAGGTGAAATTTTATTTTACTCCGGTTCAACAGCTGATTTTAGGCCACGCTTAAGGGCCTTTTTTTGCACTATTCATACTCCCTACTCAAAATATGACTCTGTGCTGAATTTTAACATGCACTAAAAATGCTGAGTTGGAAAAACCCAACCATTGGCTTCAACTTTTTAATTAAAGTTTGAAACCTAATGGTTGGGTTTATCCATAATTGACCTAAACATGGGTTGAAACAACCCACACATTTTTTTTTTTGTGTGGCTATAATGACAGACCTATTCATTGTGCCAATCTATTCAAAGAGTTTAGTCTTAAAGGGTTAGTTCACCCAAAAATGAACATTCTTGTCAATAATTCCTGACCTCCATGTTGTTCCAAATCTGTAAGACTTTCATTCATCTTCGGAAAACAAATGAAGATCTTTTTGATAAAATCTGAGAGCTTTGTGTCTCTCCATTGACAGCTACGCACATATAAACATTCATCAACTCACACATCAGTTGTAAACAAGCTCAAGCATAATCACTTGATGTGCGAGAACCAGTGACGTTCATTCTCGTGTTACACATCACGTTTGAGCTTCAGCAAGAACCAATGAGGTTCATTCTCGTGTTACGCAGCACGTTTGAGCTTCAGCAAGAACCAATGAGGTTCATTCTCGTGTTACACATCACGTTTGAGCTTCAACAAGAACCAATGAGGTTCATTCTCGTGTTACGCGGCACATTTGAGCTTCAGCAAGAACCAATGAGGTTCATTCTTGTGTTACGCAGCACGTTTGAGCTTCAGCAAGAACCAATGAGGTTCATTCTTGTGTTACGCAGCACGTTTGAGCTTCAGCAAGAACCAATGAGGTTCATTCTCGTGTTACGCGGCACGTTTGAGCTTCAGCAAGAACCAATGAGGTTCATTCTCGTGTTACGCAGCACGTTTGAGCTTCAGCAAGAACCAATGAGGTTCATTCTCGTGTTACGCAGCACGTTTGAGCTTTAGCAAGAACCAATGAGGTTCATTCTTGTGTTACGCAGCACGTTTGAGCTTCAGCAAGAACCAATGAGGTTAATTCTTGTGTTACGCAGCACGTTTGAGCTTCAGCAAGAACCAATGAGGTTCATTCTCGTGTTACGCAGCACGTTTGAGCTTCAGCAAGAACCAATGAGGTTCATTCTTGTGTTACGCAGCACGTTTGAGCTTCAGCAAGAACCAATGAGGTTAATTCTCGTGTTACGCGGCACGTTTGAGCTTCAGCAAGAACCAATGAGGTTCATTCTCGTGTTACGCAGCACGTTTGAGCTTCAGCAAGAACCAATGAGGTTCATTCTCGTGTTACGCAGCACGTTTGAGCTTCAGCAAGAACCAATGAGGTTCATTCTCGTGTTACGCAGCACGTTTGAGCTTCAGCAAGAACCAATGAGGTTCATTCTCGTGTTACGCAGCACGTTTGAGCTTCTGTTTGTTTGGTGATAAATGTTTATATGTGGATAAAAGCCTAAATTCAATCTGTTCTTCAGATTTTGGACTAACCCGCTCAATTTAGATGGATTCGTTTTATCTCTTTATAAAACTTTTTGAAGCGTCAAGGTGGTAGTGCATAGACTATCAATGGAGGGACAGAAATCTCACAGATTTCATCAAAAAGATCTTCATTTGTGTGCCGAAGATGACCGAACGTTTTACGTGTTTGGAATGACATGAGTGAGTAATTAATGACATAATTTTCATTTTTGTGTGAACTAACCCTTTAACTTTTATTATGTGACAAATTCAAAAGCAGCAAGTGTCTAACAGCATGGTATAAGTCTAGACTGTGTTCGGAATAGGATTCTAGCAGAACTGCATACTGTGCAATATATTTGTACTGCCTACTGTTATTTTATTTTTTAGTAGTATGTGGAAAGCAATATGCTTTAATAAACCTTGCATGTTATATTGTCTTAAAATATCTTGTCTTTGGCAGCCCAATAAAATTAGACCTCAAGAAAGAGCTGGTTGATCACAGTTGACTTTGCTTCCTGGAATAGGAATACAGTTGTCCATGATGCTGCGTGGTTTGGTTGTATAGTGCATGTTGACCTAATTTAGCAGGTTTTATCTTCATATTGAACATTTGCGCAGTATGCATCCTGCAAATATACTCAAATTAAAATAATTTGGGTTCAATAAAGAAGTTACAAGGCCTTTCAATACACTGATTTTACCATAGTAATGCATGCAAAGCAACATTTCTATAAAATGCATCCAATTAAATGTTTAACTCTAAAACTTTTTTATACTCTTGACATCTAATTTGACAGCAGATCTTTTTTCTTTTTTTTGACATTTTTGCCATAAACAGTGGCCCTAAAAAGGATTTGGACACTCACACATAAAGTGGTCAAGAATTTCATTGATTTCGATAAAAAAAAAAAAAAATAGAAGATTTTATCATGGGAAAGGCATGCGATTACAACTCAATCCAGAAAATTTGGGACATTTTGTAAAATTGATTGTAGATCAATTGATTTGACAAATCTGTGATTTTGTAAATTCTCTTTAACCTTTATTTAACTGACAAAAGTACAAAGAAAAAGATTTTCAAAGTTGATGGCTGCAACACACTCCAAAAAAGTTGGTACAGAGGCAAAATAAAAAACTTCTAGAATATTGAAGTTAAACTCTTGAAAGTCAGGTGAATAAGCAGGTGTATTTGGTAATGGGTGAGGATTTCATGATTGAGTGTAAAAGGACATTCTCAGTCTTTGCAAGAAAAGACAGATTATGGTTCATCACTTTGTGCCAAATATCATGAAAGCATTGTCAAACAATTCAAAAATCACATTTCTCAATGCAAGATTCCAAAGCATTTGTCTTTTCCCTTCTACCATACATAACATTGTGAAAAGATTCAGGGAATCCATAGAAATCTCAGTACATGTAGGGCAAGGCAGGAAACATGTTGGATGAGCGGGACCTTTAAGCCCTCAGGCGGCATTGCACGAGCCTAAGGACATCCATCATGCGACACGAATACAGCCACATGTGCTCGGGAGTACTTTGGAAAACCGTTTTCACTTAACACAGTCTGACTCTGCTTCAAGAAATGCAACTCCAATCTCTGTTATGCAAGGAGAAATCTATACATCTGTTCAAAGCGAAGATTTCACAGAGTTTTCCGGCACCGAGCTCATCTCAGATGATCGAAAACAGTGGAAAGTGTGAAAGCATTTTTGCTTGTTTAAAAACAAAACAAAAAAAACTGACATTGAGTTCTCAGTCCCAAAGACGAAAAGGACATCCAGACTTTCATCAGGCAGACATCTGTCATGGTATGGAATGCATCAGTGCAAACGGTATATGTGTGAAGGTAACACTGTACAATCCCAATATATGCCTCCGTGTCAGAGACATTTAATGGAATCAAGAGGACATCTTTCCTGGGAAGCAAGACAATGCCAGGCCTCATTCTGCACATGCTAAACCAGTGGTTTCTAGACACTACTACATGTAGAAGGGATGTACTTGACTGCCTGCGGTCCAGAGCTGTCTCAGGTTTGACATTAACATCCGCCACATGCGGGTGCATTTCAGCAGTGGCGTGTAACGGTCACTCCTACTAGCAGCTTTGGCGGGTTGAGTTTTATAAATATTTACATTTTGCACTTTTAAAAAGGCATATGAAATAATAAACTATATGACATGTAGTGAATTATCTTGAAAGACTTCCAATACTAATTTTCCACATAATAGATCGGTCTCTCATCTCGACACACAAACCTGCCTCCCCTCACTCAATTGTTTTATTTGCTCCGGGTGAATATTGTTGCTGTTACCACGTGAATTTTGGCATGGGATTGTGCATGTTGCGCAAAATTTTACTCATTCCCGCAGATTTTGTGCTCTCACACATAAAGCTGCCTCTCAGTACTAAATTGAGATCATTTTCGCTGCTTATTGCGCTTCAACCATAGACTGTAAAAAAAGATGGACGACGCCCCTTCGCTCTCTTCCATTGGTCAGAAGTGAAGCCGCCAGTATCCCGATATGGCGCTGACATCTTGGAACTTGAGTCTGCGCAGAAGCGATCTCGGGACCAGACATGCGCAGTCGTGAGCAGGAAGTAAAGCCACGAAATCAAGGCCCCACCCTCACTCTCCCAGAATCAATCGCAAGCACACGCCCCTGCACTTTTTTAATTAATTATAGAAATTTAGATTTTAAATTTAATATTAAATTTAGTCCTCCGAAGATCCCGAAAAAAAGTCTGTTGGTGCTTCAGTGACTACTTCACTCAGAGAACCTGTCAATCACAGCTGTCAATCATGACGTCACCACCACAGCATCAAATAACTAACTAAAAACAAACTTATTTTAAAAACAAACACTTGAAATTACATCAGCGTGATTAAAAACTACCGTTAATGACGGAAATCATCTTTGGAAAAAGGATATTTGAAGTGTAATTTAATTGTTTAGTTTGGTCTCACGTGCCGTTGAATAACACAGGGAGGCGGGGTTTATGACCTATACTAGGACCGGCCACCGGGGGGCGATCAAGACGTTTTGGCTTCACTTTTCAGGGCTTGTGCGGCACGCTCGATTCAACAGACAAATACACACAAAATCATGCCAAAATGCAGATGCTGGTGAGTATTCACGTTAACACTGTCAGTTATGTTTTAGTGAACGTAAACAGTTTAGAAAGAAAACGTACGTGTAACAGTATAATGGATCAGTGCACCAGGTCTTAAAGTGATGGCAGCCTAATATTCCTGCTGCAAAATCATGAGATAATATTAAAAATATCTATATAGATTTCCCCCGTGGTATCAATGTCAAAATTGTGGCCAGTGAAAATGCTGAGTGACTAGTAACTTTGGAGAAGGAAAGGTGATGTGACCCAGCATGCCTCTGTCCCAACCTTTTTGAAGTGTGTTGCAGCCATCAAAATCAACATTTGCTGTGAAAACTTTGAAAATATTTTCTTTGTCCTTTTGTCAGTTAAATAAAAGTTCAAGAAAGTTAACAAAT